CGCTATCGGCGGTGCGTGCTGCAGTGCTGCCAGGCGGTGCCCACTGTTGTGCGGCCTGTTGTGCGGGCTGCTGCCTATGGCTGCGCCGCGGTGCCTTGCCGGATGGTGTGACCATAACATTTACTAGTAGAGACCTCTGTAATGTACGGGGAAAATCTGAAAGATTTAATAATTTTATTTTTCATTTAATATTAATTTATAAAAAATAATAATTGTTAATTGAATATGAATAAATATTTTTTAATAAATTTAGTTTTGTTAATATTTGTAGTAATTTTAATAATTTTTATTCTTTTTATTATTTTTAAATGAAAATTTGATTACTTTTAAAATAAATAAAAATAATTATAAAAGTTAACATTTTTATTAATTCCATTAATAATTAACAATTATATAGGAATGACAACGGGGTGGATTCAAGGCAGGGCACCCCATCCCCACATCGTCCCCAGTGTCACACGGGTTCAGGGAAAGGTAACCACTCCTCAATGTTGAGCGAGTTCAGGGGCAAGGCACCCCACTCCTCATCAAGGATGGAGAATCCTCAAATTTCTCTGCCCCATCCCAAATATTGGGCGGGTTCAAGTAGAAGTGTAAATTGGGTTGTGTTGGGTCGGTACGACACAACCCGTATGTGGCTTGCACAAAGTGCAAATCATGCTATGTTGGCCCACGAGGCATCCCAGGCCATGCCTCCCTCTTCTAGGATAATTTGGGGGGTCGGTTCAGCACTGCCCATGACTCGAGCCTGCACGGGCCCGTGCCATGCCGTGGGTCGGGTTGGTCCATGGATCGGGCCTTGGGCCAGGCCATGCCACAAACCAAGACAATCTGAAGGCAAGGCACCCACTCCCCATCCAAGGTTTTTAAAATGAGTTCGGATCCCCTGCCCATGTCTACCCACAACACACAATCCACCGTGAATTGGGAACATCTCCCCCTGCATAATACTATGCAGAGGATGAGATGTTCGCCATGCGTGACTGCGATAAATGTGGGCAAGGTTCTCGTGGGCAGGAGATCCAAACTCTTTTAAAATTGGACTGGATAGAGAACCGTTCTAGGGTCGAACGGTCTGTTTGCCAAACGGATGACCCGCTCTGACAAAAAATAAAAAAAATAAAAACTAGAAAAACAAAAAAAAGCCAAAAACTGTTGTCCGGGTTGACAATTCGACCACCCAGGTTAGCGGTTCGCTAACAAAATAAATGGTTTTTGGACAAACAGAGGTTTTGAGGAGAAACAGTGTCCGGTTCCCAATTTTTTTGGTCTAACCATCTGGTTTGATCCAGTTTTGAAAACACTGTCCCCGTCAACCCAATATTCAATTTGATGATAGAAATGATCAAAATGATATATTGAGTATCAACCACATGGTAAATTTCTAAAAGTACACTAAATTGTCTTTAATATTCAAAAATATAATTTTATGAAAAATTTGGAAAATTTAT